GGTTGTGAGCCACCATGTGGTTGCTGGGAATTGAACTCAGGACCTTTGGTAGAGCAGGCAATGCTCTTAACCTCTGAGCCATCTCTCCAGCCCCACTGATGGCACTTTTATGTCAGTTTCTGTTACCAGCCTGATCCAAATTTAGATTTCACTCATTTAAATTTTATTTATTATGTGCTGAACCTTAAATAGTATGCTGGACTTAAGTTGAATATTTGTCTAGACACAGGAATGCCTTCCAGATTAGATGTGTGAGAGCTGACTAGGCTACTCTAAGTAGTGTTTCATCATTGTAAGGCAAAATAGCGAGAATTGGGTTTCTATTCTACCTGTCCTATAGAGTTGAACTATAAATGAATGGATATTCAAAAGTTGTTTTTTTTTTTTTCTCTCTCTCTCCTTAGTACTGGATGAATGAATACACATCATCTATTGGAATTGGAGTTTTTCATTCTGGAATTGAAGTGTATGGCAGAGGTATGTGTGCACATAGTTTAAATATGCTTTCTGGGGTTTCTTTCAGTTTAAAAAAAATACAGAATCAGTTGGGTGTTGTTGGCACACGCCTTTAATCCCAGCACTTGGCAGGCAGAAGCAGGCAGATCTCTGTGAGTTTTCCGTCAACTCGGTCTACAAAGTAAGTTCCAAGACAGCTAGGACTGTTAAACAAAGAAACCCTATCTTGAAGAAAAAAAAGAAAATACTGTTAGATCTTTTTCTTTGTCCCCTTTCTTTGAAATGACTTACATATGTTATTGCAAAAAGTAGAATAAAACGCATTTGTTTATACTATGCTTTGAAAAAAATGCCTGTGGTAGAATATAAAAGAGTACATTCATTATATTTTTTTTTTCTAATTATTGTGTCTTTTAAAACATTTTTTTAGCCAGGTTTGGTGGCAAACACCTTTCTGCCCGGTACTCAGGAGACAGACGCAGGCAGATTTCTCTGAGTTCAAGGCCAGCCTGGTCTACAGAGTTCCAAGACAGCCAGGGCTACAAGTGAGACCTGTCTCAAAACCAAAGCCTGCCCAGACAGTGGTGGCGGACACCTTTAAACCCAGCACTCAAAAGGCAGAGGCAGGTGGATCTTTGTGAGTTCGAAGCCAACCTGGTTTACAGCTACACAGAGAATTCCTGTCTTGAAGAAGAAGAAAAAAAAAAACCAAACACCTTCTTTCTGAAGTTGTTAAGTCGTGATTGTTTTTCTCTAACATGTATAGGAGTTTCTAAGAAATTTTTGCACTTTGAAAACTGCATAACAAAAATAATCATTTTGGTTAGTGGTAGAAAGTGTCAAATTTGAAATACCAATTCCTTAGGGAATTTCAGTAAACATTGGATTTTGAAGGTCTGTGAGTATCAATAGTCTATGCTAAGCACTCTTGCCTTTAGTAACATCTACCATTTTGCTCAATTACCGTGATATATCACTATGAATTATATGCTTGCCTTTTATCGAAGTTCCTATGTTTGCATAAGATAGGCAGTCTTTGTAACTTCCTAGAGTACATTATCTAATTCACCCAGGATAAACTATGTACCTTCTTGTTCACTAATTTTAAGTAAGCTCCATTTACTTAAATATTTCAATATGATGTTTCTGCTGTCTTTGTATCTGGGTAGAAAAGTGCTGATAATTAAATCCGTAGCCTCAAACTTGCTAAGCAGGTGCTGCACCTCTGGACTATGTCCCTAATCCCTATC